TTAACAATTAGGTCATAACCGGAGGAGTATCATGTTTGGAAGGAGCTTTTGACATTTATGTGTAGCTTTTCATTTGGTCACTCTATAACGCTAAAACGTGAATAGAAATTTCGTCAAAAGTGTCTGGTTAGAAAATGAACTAATCATGTAAAGGTATCTAAGACTTATAAGTCTTTGAGTGGGTACAATTTTTCTTTACCGTGTGTAATAACTTTTAATTATATGCTTTGCACACATGGATACCTGAATGCCAAGTATAGTTAATGGATTTGTTTAGCAAACATAATCTTAAGACAATTCAGAGATAGCATATATGGGAGACCCATATGTGTGTACTATTATTCTCTCCATCTTTCCAAAGACACAATTCCCCCCTTTGCATTATCTTTTTTTCTTCGAATTTTACAACCTCTTTATATATGACTAAAAGTTCCATAAATTCTTTGTGAAGGCGTGGAAGTCGGGTACGGACGGACGGGTTAAGAAGATTTTTTGTATTTTATCACTACATTTATTATTTATTTTTAAAAAATACTTAACCACGTAAAAACAAAGAATCTTAATGAAAATAATACAAGAAAGTTATATTTTATATCAAGCGATCATATGATGATTTGAAAGGCCAATTCTTACATGAATTAATCACATTATTCTTGGACATGCCTGCAAGACTATCACAAATGGAAATGAATAAAAAAACAGAAAAATAATGTGTTTGACAGAAAGGCACTTCGCATTACTTGTATAGAACATACACACACTGAAAAAACAATGATATATTTTTTTAGAAAAACAATGAAATATAAAATATAAAATACCCAAAATACCCCTGTTCCTTCAATAATCCTCTCCCTGGACAGCAATAGAGTAAAAATCAATAATAAACATCATTCTGATGTTTCAAAAATCAACTTAATTACAAACTCATAAATCATCAAAACAAAACCAATAAAAGGAAGAAGATGAACGAGCAGATCCAAGTACCTTAGATCTTCTGCTGCACTTTTCTATAATACCACTACAAAGCAATAATTGTAAAGAAAAACACACTCGTTCTTCATCATTTATTTTATTGTAAGTTAAAATCATAAATGAACATATTTTAAATTTTAAAATTAATTTCTTTAAATTATATAAATTTGATATTTATAGCATATTTATAAATAAAAAATACATGATAATATTTTGTCAAAGTTTAGCATCTATTATTATATTTTCTTTTTAAAAAATCGATTGGAACACTTGTCTTTTTAACTTTTGGAGAGAAAGGGATGCATGTATGTAACATGTCAAACTAGAAGATAAAATTATATAATTTAGACGCACAAAGTCTTACAGATAAAAATAATTTACTCAATAATTTATATATATGATAGAAATTCAAAGCTGGTTATGTGAGTAAAAGACTAAAAGAGAACACTAAAAAAAACACCCCATACGCTCACAACCATACACAAAAATCGTCCTTGAAGATTAAACGAAACGTATATTTTGTCCATTTTAAATATATATATATTATATTGTGTGTGTGTGAGTGAGAGAGAGAGAGAGAGAGAGAGAGAGAGAGAGACCCTGCCGGTAATGAACCTATAAACATAATCGTGTAAAGTTGGACCAGAAAGTTGCTGGTTGAAAGAAGAAAAGGTCTGCGCAATTCCACTATACTTCCCTTTATCATTTGAGATGTTATGTTCAAGAACAACAACTTTCGGATCATCATGATGACATATATATATATATATATATATATAAAACAAAACTAAAAAATGAATTTTGTTTGCATTATAGATTCAGATCATTCACTACATCTGGAACTGAACGAGCTTTCACCGATCGTATCCAAAATGGGTTTCCATGGCTGAACTCCATGGCCATAAGGGCTTCTTCTTCCTCCTCCTCCTCTCCTTCTTCCACCTTGCAATCTCCAAGCCGATACTGAAACTCTATCTCTATGGCTCAACCCAAGGTGACTCGCCAGAGGGACGCCGCCGCCAAGCCGCGGCGGCTTTCCATTTTCCTCTTCGGCTAAGCTCACAGTACTCGTAGTTGTTTTAGCTATGGCAGTGAGCCGCTTGGCGAGGGAGGCCAAGTCGACAGGAGAAACATCCGCCTGCAGGACGGAGCACGGTAGCTTAAAGTAAACCTCCCCTGGCTGGAGCCGCACGTCAGCCTTCAACGGCGTCCCCGACGACGCCAGAAGGTGAAGCGTCGTACAAACGATGTGCTTCGGAGGATCGCCGGTGAGTTGTCTCACTGAAACTGGCTCCAGAAAGTCTTCCACGTAGCCGTTGAGATGAACGACACGAACATTATTCTTAAACGCAGACGAGGACGGCGACTTCGACGATGACGAGGATCTACAAGAAGAAACGCAACCTCCCATCTGGATCCGATCGATCAAGATGGTTTGGTGAAGAAAGGTTTAGTTTGAAAGCGTGAAATAGAGATATTTCCAAGTGGGGTTTATATAGAAAGGATGAATCCAAACTTTAAGCTTAAGAAATGGCCACTAGATAGGTAACCTTACCCTACCAATTATTTTGAGGTGCCTTTTTTTCAAGGTTGAAAAATGGAGCAAGTCAACGCACACATGCTCTGTACTCTATCAACAAGTTGTGTGTTATTTTTTTTTCCAAAATTTTTAAAAATATTTGAACTCTAACTTAAAAATCTATCCGTACTATGCGAGTACTATCTCCCCACGTTTTAATTATAAACAGTTCCTTAAGGAATCTTATAATATATACTACTTCTGATGTTAATATAAGATCTAAATTATAATGTAATTTACACTATAAATTTGGGTTTATATCAGTTATAGCTAGCTACCACCCGTGATTACTAGGTTGAGTAAGGGTTTAAAAAATTATGATTAATTCCATGTCTCACGTGTGAAAAAGAAAAAAAACATTCACGTGAAAGAGCCTATTTTACTTGACTCTAATTATACTCAAATTTCACTCGGTTGATATAAGATACTAATATATTTCATATACATTTGTGTGTGTGTGTGTATAATATCAAATCCTCAAAAAGTCACAATATTCATTATTTATAAATAATATAACTCATCTCAAACCTTTTTGTAAAGTTAAAAACTTATATTCAAGATTATAAAAATATAAACATATATTGTAGGTTTTGAGGCTTTTTTTTTTTAATATCTATCTAATAAATTTTTGGCATTATACTAAAGGCAAATTTGAAATTCTGCGAGATTAAGTTAAAAATAAACTTATTTTTATTTTTTCTTACATAATGTTTGTCCCTTTATTTAAGAGAAATGGAATATCTCCCACTTGACCAATAATTATTAGTGGTTTTTAATATTATACTGGGTTTAATTTTATTAGAATTTTTTAATAGGATGTGGCTCTTGCAACTTTATATGTTATTAATTTTAATTTTAATTTCACACTTAATGTTAATTAATTGTCGTTTAGCCTCAAGCCGGCAGAAAGGTATTTCTTTCAAAGTATGAAAAGTATGTGTATTGATAGGCCCTTTGAGTGAAAGATTGAGATATTAGAAACGACGACTTTCCTATGTTGGGACAAAAGGGGTTTCAATAATTTATGTTATATATGTAACTGTAAAGACATTTTTAGTCTGTTTTATTTTCTTTAATAAAATAATTTATCATCTCAAATTAAATAAGTTTCTCATTTGATTTGAATGTGACAATCAAATTTAGAGGTTTGATAGGGGCCTCATACCATAGCCATTTATAATTTATTAAGTCTTTTTTCTTTTTAATTTTTCTCAAAATTAAAAAAGTCATGAATCTTTTTGTACAATCTATATACAATTTTGGTCGGTTTTTTAATTTGATAATGTGTCTTTACATCCCCTAATTCTAATGATAACATTAAATTTTAAATATTAGCTAAATATTTTCTAAATGTTGACATAATTAGTAAGGAATATTCTAATTAAATCAAGCTAAAATACTAAAATCTAAATTCATGGCCTACACGGTTATATTGATGGGAACCAAAAAAAATGTTATTTACCTACTATATTAGGATTATAAGATTTAAAATATATTTAAAATTAAAATATTAAACTAAAATATTAATATAAAGTTTCACTTTACCTTAAATTTAAGAGCATAAATTTAGAGAGGCAGTTGCGGCGTTTGTTAGCAATTCATGCTATGTGCCTTTGCGGTATCTTGTACATACACGCCATGCATTAATTAATCAATTAATAAATTTGATATATTTATATAATTAATATTTTTAAGTCATCTTCTAATGATCCATTCGCCTTCAACAGAAGACGCATTACGTTGTGATTGATAAATGATGTTCAACGATATTGAAATTTTAACTGCTTTAAAAATTGATATTTTTTCGGACCAGGAAATACTAAAATTGGTTTCCCATAGTTGATTTGCCAATTTTATAATTTTCTATTTTTTCTTTTGACAAGAGCCAATTTTGTTGTTTTTTTTTTTGGCATCTTTTATCGAACGAAAAGAGCTCACAATAATAGTATAGTGCTTATTAAATATGTAGACGGTTAAATATGCATTTAAAAAATTTTTAATTTGATTCTTATAGTTTCATAGTATATTTTTTAGTTTGAGTTTAACAAATAATTCTTATATTTTTAAACGAATTTTGATTTTAGTCCTTATACTTATAGACTAAATCCTTGTGAAACCATAAGGATCAAAACTAAAATTAAATCAAATTGTAAGAACTGATAATCATATTTAACCCAATTGAAAGTTTGAACTTGGCACACAAACGTAGTATCTTGTGTCCAATTTATAATTTTATACTTTATAAGCTTGAACTAACGTAAAAAAATCAGTATATATATCACAACTCATAAACAATAGCAGAAATACCTTTAAAATGATACTATCTCCGGCCTGTTTATAAGAAATACTTTTAGTTTCAAATTGAATTATAAGTTGCTTTTTTTTATAAATTAGTTAGTTGGTAATTAACCAGACAATTATGATGAAAAAAGAAAGAAAGAAAGAAAAAGCAAATGGCTTTAATGATTTTTGACTTTATAATGACAAAATTACCAAGTTGGTCTGAAAGTTGACTTTATAAACCTCAACTTTTTGAGAAAATGCTTTTCAACTTGGCAACTGGAGAAATGCTTCCGCATTTCAAACATCCATGATTTACCCATTAAGAAGTAATGACCAAAATATTTAGCAGTTATTATAAATATTTAATTCATATAACGGCAAAATTAAATAAAAGTAAATTTGCGATGAAATTTTGAGAGAAGGATCTTTTAGTAACAGATTTTTTGACACATTTAGCTTTTGTAACAGATATGCAGTAGATATACTCTTTTGGTCCTTAATATAAGACTTATTTAACTAATTTGATTAGATTAAAGAAGTCAGGTTAGTTAATTATAATTTTTTTTTCCTAAACACCAATCAACTTTCTTATATCCTTCCCCCCTCCCTTAATTATTGTTAAGAGAGTATTCATAGGGGTAATTTAGAAAAAATTGATAAATATGAGAAATAAGTCTTATATTTAGAGAAAAAAATTTTTAAAAACAAAATTTAGAACCAAAATTAACTTAACAATTGAATTTTATATTAAGGACCGAAAGAGTATTATTCTATTGCAATATTCATGGTTGCAAAAAAATTGAAATATTTCTGAATTATTTTGCTGCAACAAATTTTGTGTTATATACTTCTATATTAAGGCTCTGGGTAGCACCCCAAACCCTGGTTTGGGGAAAATGCTACCCAAACAGCCTTCCAAATATTTAAACCATGGTTTCATCAAGAAGCTTTTTCGTCCGCTTCTGGCTCCATTATTGAAGGCTGATGGTGGGCCCTCCTCACATGACCGATCAGCCCCGGCTTCAATTATCTTCTGGCTTCAATTCCAGTCGGTCGAAACTTCAGAGCTCCTTCCATTCCAGTCGGTCGAAAACTCTTCTGGTGCTTCGCTCTTCAGGTCTGAAATTCTTCCCGTCGAAGTATGTGCTTCTGGTTCACTGGTTCGTCGAGCTCGTGCCGTCGCTGGTTCTGTGGTCGGGCTGAGAAGAAGAAGGGATGAAGACGATGGTGATGAAGGGAGGTTCCCCCTCTGCCGTCGCGCAGCGTCTCCGTCTTGTGTTCGTGCTTCGGTCCCCTGTTTTTCCCAGCCGTCGTCCCGCGTGTGTGTGTGTTTCGTTCTTTGCTCGTTCGGCGTGTTCTCCTCAGCCCGCTTCGCCTCGTGTTCAGCTTCTCCGCCAAGATGAAGATTAGTATATTAGGTTGGGGGTGGCGCGCACTTTGCTCCCTTTTGTTTTAATTAATTAATTAATTACTCTAAAAAATATATATTTTCACGTTTAAAAAATCTTTAAAGAAAATAATTAATTATCTGTTAGCCAAAAAAAAATTCAATTTTCTATAAACATATTTAATATTATGTTTTATAAATATATATACACATATTATTATGTATTAATTATATTATATTATATATTATTAATTATGTTACAAAAATTTTTTCATTAACAATTTTATTTCCTCAAATCAAATATATCATAAAATCTATTCCTTATATAATTATCAAATTAAACTTATACCCTTTTTGGTAATTTTGACATGTAAAAAAGTGCTTCTGTAATAACCATCCAAACACTCTCACTTCTCAGAATCACTTTTTTTCAGAATCTATTCTCCACAAAATCTATTCTCTACAGAATCTATTCTCCAGAATCACTTTTCCAAACACGATTTGTTTCATCCAAAACACACCCTAAGTACCGGAGGACCATGATCTTTTGTGACAGATTTGTATTGTGTGGATAGTTTTATTTTAGAATTTCATATAATAAATTTTAAAATATCTTGATTTTTTTCTTAAATAATTTGTTTATTGACTATATCTTCATAACAATAATTATAATTTCTGCATTCAGATCTTAAAATTTCCCAAAAAAAAAAAATTGTCATAGCAGATACACACCCTCTATGGGTGTAGCATATAATTGATATTACAATTTTCTTTTCAAATATCATTTTTAATCACGTTGAGAGTTTGAGATTATTGAAAGTGACTATAAAGTTTTAAGATCCAAAAATTTTTTTTCTAGAATTTATTTATTTTTAATTATGTTTGGTGCAGTAGTAATACAATAATAACGATCCATTTAAACATTATTAAAGGTAACTTGTAATAAAAAGTGTCAAATACAATATTTAACTCAAACTGTCACAAATTAGCACATGGCTATGCCTAAGAGCTTGAGACAAGATGTGCAAGTTGACCCTCCTTTCATGCTCACATATAACTCCTTCATTATTATTTAATTCTAAATTAAATTGTCGTATTGAAGTCACCAATTGATCATGTGAACCAAATTTTGGTCAATTCATTGAAAATTTTAAAGATGAAGAAAACCCTTCGTGAGGATTAAAAAATAATGGAATGTTAAAAGAAACTTAAAACTTGTTGGGATAGGCAAAACTCTTTGCGCTCTAAGCTTCATCAAATCAAAACTTAAAATAAGTTGAAGATAATTCTAATCAATTTGCCAGCGGAAAAGATGGAAAAAGATAAATCGAGAAGATTGGGGGAGAAGCCCAAGTTGGTTTATTGTTATTTGAAATTAAAAAAAAACAAATTTAATAAATTCTATAGTGATAATATAAAATTTTGTGACTATATAAAATATTCAGCTTATCCAATTTTGTGCTTGAATTCATTACAAGATACTCTTCTGATCCTAAATATAAGACTTTTTTTATAGTATAATTTACACTATAAAAAGAGTCCTATTAAATTCTTACAAAATGGATCTTATATTTAGGATCAGAGGAATATTAAATTCTTACTTGAGTTAGTCCATCTTTTATTTAGGTTTTCATTCTATCAAGGGTTGAAAATTATGTGATTTTGTTTCATTTCATTTTATTTTGTTAATTTTGTGATTGTTAACATATATGATTTGTATTAGAAAAAACATCAGGCCAAGTATGAATACAAAACTAAAAGGCAACAAATAGTTCTCGATGCTTAATGGGCCGTTCATTAGGCCTCACCTTTAGGGAGAACCGCATCCCTTAGCCTAAATTGAATGACATATTCTTACCAAAAACAAAAATTGAATGACATATTGGGCCTCCACCTCATCAGCATTAGGAGCAGGTCCCTGTTGTAGGAGTTCCCAAGTTTAAACTTAAATAATTAAAATGGTATGGGCTTGGCCCATTACAATTTTAGGCCGGATCATCTAGTGTTTGTTTTCACATTTGGCCTCTAATAATCTTCACTCTCATTCACTCCTTTTTAACGTCCATTGGACCTTCTATTATTATTATTTTTTTTTAACATATGGGGCCTCAATGGCTCATTTTAATAATTGAATTATTTATTTTTTTGTCTACTTAATTACTTGCTTACGTACATATTTTCAGTATTATATATGATAAATTATTTGTTGTAGAAATTTGAAACATTATTTAATTTGGTTTACATCGTTAAAATTCTCTTCAGTATCATGTATGACAATTATTTGTTGTAGAAATCAAATACATGTATATATACTTCAAAAGCTAGATCCATGGTTCATTTCATCTGTCACTTTTTTTCCAATCCTGTCTGGTCCAATTCTTAAATGACACTTACCTATTACATTTGTTTTCTTCCTTGATGAGATGAAAATATACAATCCCACCTCAAAAGATAAAATCAGTTGGACACAAGTAATTCAGGCAAGAACAGTGTTATCCTCGGTATTTTCAACTTGGGACATTGTTTTGTGATAATCTTCAAACGTGCTTCTAAAAAATACTTTTTCGCAAAACAAAACAAACTCTTTTATATATTTACTTGTAAACCATAAAAACACTTTTGAAATCATGGTTTGGTTTTTATCCAAATACTTCCTAAACAATGTCTCAAGTTGTACAAAAATAGATCAACACCAACAACAACCATTTAAATGAGCTGATATGATTTCTCCCAAAAATTTTGTCATGCAATGAGATTTGATAACCCAAAGGAGAAGAGGCTATCCATCTCCATGGAAGCAAACGCACTCTGCTAACTTCCTCTCCAAATTAAGGTCCACCCTATAACTGCAAAGCCATTTTCCCTTGAACCCTATATGTACTTATATATCTGAGGGTGGCTGGCCATATTCAAGCCTCAACAATGGCTGTAATTTACAACTCATCAATAATGTTGCTATATCAGAAACCGAGATGACAATGGGACAAGAGGGCCGAAAGAAGCAACAATCGGATGGATCTGACCAAAGAATCGACTCAAGAATAGGTGTGGCTCAAGGTGTGGAGTAATTGGAAAAAATTAGCAACAAATTGTCCAGTGTTTCAGGAGTGAACTTTCTAGCAAATAGGTAACATGGCTTCTGAACCCCATTCCATAAGCAAGGCCAACTTTGTACTTCTTTCTGAAGAAGCAGGTAGAGAAAACATGTTATTAAATGCATTTTGAACGAACAAGATCAGAAGAGTGCTTTAGATAGGTTACCTTGGCATTACTGGTAACATGCACACTAACATCAATGGACTGCAGAAAAACAAATGATTACCAAGAATACGGCAGAAAGATAAATTCAGGGAAATTTTACAGCATAACATACTGAGATTGGATATGAAGAAGCCATATGCAATAGACTAGCAAAATACTACCTCCGGTTCTAAATATAAGGTCTTGTTTTTAGTTCAATTTGAACTACAAACTAGATTTTACATTTAGGATAAGACGCAGTATATCAATAATATATTTTCTGAAAAGGTCAAGGCAAAACTATACCGTAATGTTCTTCATAAGCTCGTATGTGACATCACGAGCCCTATATGATTTTGGATGCCATTTTCTCTCAGACCAGTCTACATGAGTTACCGACCAGTTTGCAATTCCACCAGGGTCAACAATCTAAAATAGACACAAGTTAGGTGAGGCAGAAAACAGTCAAACGCAAAAGAATTGGATCGCAAATAAGGTAATATTCTCACATTGAAGAAGGTTGGCATGTAATGTTCATCAGCAATACAATTCTTCCCTTCCAGACCAGGCTGCCATTATCAAGAACTTTTGCATCATTAGTTAAATAATTAAACCCAACCATAAACATGGACTCAATAGAGATGTAGTTTGCATTTGAGCTAAATATACTTAAATATACTAAGAAAATAAAGACCATTTCAACTCGAGCTAAAAGCTATAAAGATAAGTCCCATGCATAATTTTGTTATTATCTGTAATACAGCTAGTCAATAGCTTCGTGCTTGATCTAAAGCACAGCACATCAGACCTTGCTCATGAAACTAAGTCAATCAAGAGAATAGAAGGCAGCAAAGATCAATTCCTAATTACTTGGTTATAGAGACATTGGTATTGTGTCAAGGACCACTTCAACATAAAAGCTTCAGTTGTAAAGTCCCATGAACAATTTTTATTAAAATATCAAACAAAAACAAACATTTCATGCAATAACATCAAGTTCTCGGGATAAATTAAAGAACTAAAGAATACTTTAAATATTAAAATGAATATGGGAAACTTAAATAGTCACCTTGCAGTAATCACGGAATTTTGAGTAATACAAATTGTCAGCCATAAGTATAATAGCATGCTGTCTCTTCATAGAGAACCACTGCAGAAAATTTTAAATAATGTGAGACAGGCGTATTAGAATGGGTGACTAATATTTCAATGAGCTATATATATAATAAAGTCAATTTATCTTCATCACCGGTAGGATGTCACTTAAGCCATAAAACAGAACATGGTCCAGGCAATACCGATAGAGTTAATTTGGTTATCAAGAATGTATCACCACCCGACCTTACGTGGCCTAATCATGCAACATGTAATGTAATTACAGGATAAAGTTATATGACAAGTGCCTCAAGATTGATGTGTGTTAATTAAGATGGAAAACTCTTACTTTAACAGACAAAACTTGCATTCAAAATTCATATTAGCTGTTCACGAACTAGTGATTTTTGTACCTTTGATCATTCTCCACCTTTCACAAGAGAGAAGGCAAATGAAGAAAGATAGCCTCACATGGCTTTTGGATGTGAATTTTCGTATGTTCTCTATTTGAATGAATGTGTTAAATTTTATTTAAAAAAAAATCACATTAGCTTCTTACTTTTATGAAGCATACACCTTCAGTTCCTTAGTTTCATGGGATACTCAGTTTGGTCTCCCAAATCTTGTCCTCTGGTTTTTTAAATTGTTCTATGCCTATTTTAAAACCGATCTAAACCTTAATACTTAATTTAACCTTACGTTGACTTGAACATCAAATCTAAGAGAGTTGATACTGTCGTCATAAGTTATTATATATTTTGATGTTAACTTTGGCATGGATTGCTAAAGAGGACAAAAAATGGATCATTTAAAAAAAGGGGTGATAACATTGCCTATTTTTAAACTAAGGCCACCAAATTTAAACATTAATGAAACTAGACGGTTCAAGAATAAATTCAAACCAAATTCTATTAAAAGCAGATGAAGTTTCTACTAAGTTAACATATCGTACTCCAAGTATTCAAACAAAAGATATACCTGCGCACCCTTTCTGAAATTCTTCACCTCAACTTCAGGTAACATATGTTCTGAATACCTACCATTGCCATGAGGACCAGGATCCCTAAAACTGAAAAGACAAAGCAAAGAATGGTGAATGAGGATATGAGATCAGATAAGTAACAGAAAGCAGAGACCAGAAAACTACCAACACACACACACACACACACACACAAAAACCCAGAGGAATTCACCAAAAATTAAGCAAGACATACCAGTCGACAAAGCTAATATTTGTATACATCAGATAGTCGTATATATAGTCAAAACTATACAGTGGCACGCAACTGCAAAATAAATGTAGAAGAACAAAAAAAAATTACTCCAGTTAATCAATCAATAATATAAAAAGTTACCAATCTCATAGCAATTCACCTATCAGAAAGTAAAACAAATTGCTGATTGTCAGGATCTTGTAAAGCATTTGCCAACAGCCGTCTCTCTGCGTCAACCATTGAAATCTTACCCCACACCACCTGTAACATTACGAGTGATCACTTTGGCTGCTCATTAGATAACCACATTTCATAAACCAACTGCAAATCATTTGCACTACTATTATCTTGACATCCAAAATGAAAAGAACATAACAGTATAATCAGAAATGGAAAGGAGAGGGAGATCACCTTAAGGCAACATAATAAAACATGGGTCCAGACAAACCAACAAAAGCAAATGTAGGCAAGTTTCAATCCCGGACAAAATTTAGACACCAGAACAGAGATCAAAACAGTAAAATGTTTTCAAAGAAATATAAATGTATCATTTAGAAAAGATATTTCCCCTAAAGTCAGAGAAGCACTAATTACAATCATTTCTGCAACAATATGGCGCACTAATCAGAAATTACATTCCTAGTAAAATTTCAATCAACAATTTCCATCACAAATTTCAATTTCACAGGGACTCGGGTACTCTAAAGTGTAATATTGAGGGTATTTCAATATAGAGAGGAAACGTCCATTTAATGATTAGTCTTTGGTGACTTATCATTAAGAGAATCCACACAGGCAATATTTTATAAACGGTTTATGAAGTTCATTTGCTATCAATAGTGAATCCTATACCTTCAGAGAATCCAAATCAACATCAAAGGCATACACTCCGCTTAAATTTTTTTAGAAAAAAACCCCAAGTGGTCAACAAAATAACCATGAGGTAAGAATTGCATTGATTACATCAGGTAACCCAATTTTTCAGACTAGGATTTGATATTTCTACATCCACAAAGGCAAAGTTGAAAGCATGCCTCTTTAGCAGGCATCATGACAACAGTAGAACAGCTAATATTCCCTCTCCAAAACAGAGATCAATGTAAACGAACCAACAAACAAGAACAAGACAGTTTACGAACCTGTTCACTGCGTATATCCCGATTAACAAAATAACGGCTCACGTGAACTGGTCTAGTTTTAGATGCATGCACGTAAACTGAGAATTTCCCTTCATGCCCTGTCAAGAAGAGAAAAGCATTCTTCACGTAAATACACAACCAAAAAAAAAAAAAAAGATGAACAAACTTTATAGACAACAATGATTAAATGAAAATTATGAAAACAAACTATAGAAAAACAACTAGGACAACATTTCACATCATTATCCCACACTTCCAATTTTTACAGTTTTCCTATTGGTTGAACCATTCATACAATTTTAATCAAAAAGGGAAGTGGCGCAGGTTTGGAAAAGGTTGCAACATGCCAATATCTACCAATGTTGATCACTCAACATGCTGCACAATAATGAATTTCAGTTAAGTTATGCTCCTATTTCCTTTGCCCCATATGCTTATAGCAAAGGAGAAACCCCCAGGAAATTTCATGTTAAATACTTGCTCATTATCAGCTAAGGGTGCAATAAACCATAATGCTCTCCCCTAGTTAATCATTCCTGCCTAATTTTTAAGCTCCATATTGAATGAACGAAATTGCCAGAGTCTCCTACAACTTGACGCTAGTCCACCCAGATATTCTAATAAAAGAATCCTCAAAACACTGAAGTTCCCGTAGCAGTAACTACTCATTCATCATTTCATCATGCAATAATGCTCTCAGAGGTCAGAAGTTGAAACAACCAACTTGAATATGTAGGATGTCATCCACACCTCACCTAAATGGCTATCTTGTCTGGAACTATATGTTTTAGAAGCATCACACATAATCAGAAAAATCCAGGAAAACAAATAAACATAGAATACACCAATTGTTTTAAGAAAGTGAGAAACAAGGACTTGCACAAATTACACTCAATCTAGATTGAGGGCATGTGCTTTGCATGAAGTCTAAAGTTAACCACATAATTCATAGCTGCTTATAGATTTCATAAAATACATAAATATATAGATTAGTTAGTCATTAATCTTCATGATTGAGTAGGTCACCATGTTTAGCGTTAGCTTTCTTCTTATTGACAAACTATTTGTTCTTAAATTTAAAAACTAATAATAATATATTTAGCAGCAAATGTAAATTGATATAAAATATTTAAAAAAATGATAGATAAAAGAGACAAGAAATCATTACTTGGAAAAACTTATCCCACAGTTTCTCAAATGGAAGGGAACCAGGAGTCAGAAACATGAAGGCAACTTTCGGATTTTTAGGAAGAACATATGGCGCACTCAAAATATCCCTAATCACCACTTGTGATGCAATCTCTGCATCTGTGTATTCCCTTGCAGGAACAGGCGGAAGCCACTGAGAAATAACATCGCAACCTCTAGAAGAAAAGACATAACAGGCTGAACTGCTTTTGGGTGGGTAGATGTAAGCAAAGATTAGAAACATGCATACAAATAAAACCAGGACAATAATCCAAACTGGTTTCTTCATGGGAGGGCGGTGGCGCGACATAGGCAGGATCTGCAAATCTCCAATGCCTAGATGCCAAATTTGTGCAGTCTTCATCTAAGTAAATGCATCGCAGCATCACCTCCGAAAGATCTCCTTAATATATGTATTCACCATCCTCAAGCACAAAGAAGCCAATATAAAAAGCCTAAAATGAACCTTTGACAGATTGATGTTGATAAACCTGAAATCAAAACACATCAAGTAAATATATTAGCAATCAACAAACAGCTAACCATCAATCCTATATGCTAGGATCCCTATACAGATGGTATAAATACTATATGTCATAGGGAATAAATTTTATTTTGACAGTAAAAGATCTGGATGTTCACAGAAAACACAATATTCGGGCCCACATAATTTTCAATAAGAATATCCAAAGGAGTTCCTAATTGTGTCTTCCAACTAATAGATAAATATGTAAACACATTTATTGAACAATCCTCCTTGAGCTAGCGCACAAGGGAAACATACAGCTGCATGGACAAATCGATATGCAATACTCCAAATCCAAACTTAAAAGCATGGAAAGCAATGCTATAAGAAAATGAAGACGAAATTTAGTCCCTACACATTAATCTCAAGTCTTAACCCTTAAAATCCTAGTTTATAAATAAGAAGCACCGGTAAAACAAGTATAAAAACCAAAATGAAAAACTGACCCTCAAGTTGCTTATGTCAAGATAGGAGAGGAGATAGGGAGAGAGACAGAAGGAAAGTGAATGTTTGTGTGAGGGAGGGGGGGTTGGGGTCGGATTTCCTGTGCAGCTACAAACAACGTACTAAAACTGGCATTATTTGATGACTTCCAGTGTGTACCAAACCTTTCTAGTTTACCAAACAATAATAACATTCAGGAATCAGGACGGAATGTTCCGGAGAAAATAAGTTAGAATATAATAAAGAAACAACAAAAAAACAATTAAAGATCGAAATTAGACAGTAATAATCATAATATGCCCGATCGATTCAGCGTCTTGAAGTAGCCCAAAAGCGAAAAGAGCACAATACAATTTCTTTCAACGAGACACATTAAAAATCAGAAGCTGGAGCTTAACAAGTCATACCCATCCGAACCCTCATAATTTCAACCAACGCGTACCAAATACCAGCGAAAATTCAAATCCAAAATGCACACTCCAACGCGGCTACCATTAAAACTCCAATTTAGATATCCAACCCGCAACATGCGCTGTTCAGTTACCAAGAATGCTTGCAAAACACTAAACAAAGAATACACATAAATAATGCAAAATTATTCCTTTCCCACTTTTACTTCACTTATCTTTCTTTATACTTCACCACCAACCAAAACTTAAACTTTCAAACAAAGAAAACCCCCTCGCTCGCTGTCTCCGGTTCCCCCTCCCGCAGTAACTCAAACACACTAAAAGCAGTGTGAGTAATACCTGAAAGCTTAGCTGCACCGAAGTATCAAAGAAGATCAAAGATTCACAAGAATCCAGCTTCAATTCAAAGATCTTGTCGAACCCACCAATGTTTCAGGAAGATCTAGGGCAAAGGGGGAAGAAAAGCATGCATACGCAGAGAGAGAAAAGGAGAGAGACAACTATATTATAGGCGTGATGAGATATGAGAGAGGGGGCGTGTTGTTTGATTCAGTGATTCGTTTACTTGGTCTTTCCTTCACTCACTCTCTCTCTCTTCGGTTTCTCTCTCTAAAACGAACCTCGCAGTCACAGACACACCCCGTGCTAGCCAAACTACTATACATCGCAGCCGGCGATTGGTCAAAATTTAATTTTTAATTTCATAAAAGTTTCATAAATGCTTAAGTTAAGTTAAAATATAGTAGCAGTATATATATTTAGCAAGAAAACTACTAAATCATTTATTTATTATCTATTTTAGAAGATTCATAATTGGCACAAGCTCGGTCCCAAGTCTGTCGTGTTCTTGAAATAGAAGTCGTATAAATTTATGAACTCTAGTGAGCTATGACCCCCACTTGGCATTTTTCCTATGGAATTTTTATTTTTTGCGCTAATATTTTAGCCGGGTTGAAGAAGGAATTACAATTTTTTTTTTAAAAATTAACAATTAAAGATATCTATAGAAAAAATTATAGCTCTTTCATTAACACTATTAGATGATAATTTCATGACTAATATCCCTGAATTAAAAGGATCCCAATCCAATTTTTAACCTGCACTCCTTTTTCTTTTTTGCAATAATGTTGTGGATATTAATTTTGAAAAAATAAAATTTAAAAGTAAGAGACAATGACAAAAAAAAAAAAAAGCTGAAATTTTGTAAATGCCAAACAAAGAATACCAACAAAAATTTATTGTTATTTGCAAATTCAGACTTGTCAATACCAAATAAAGTTGTGTTACCAAACTTGATTTAAGATTTGCAATTTCCAACTTTTTTTTTCTTTCATTCTCTCTAAAAATAAACATATTTTATGTCTGAATTTATGTTTTACATGGAAAATAATGGAATAAAAAATATACAAAGGTGTTAAGTTGCAAATACAATAGCGTGGAAGAAAAATCAAAGATGCCATGGATATGGGATATTATGTCAAATAAATTAATTTGATATTTGTATGACTTTTCTTTCCCATTTCACAAAAATAAATATATGAAAGCCATTTAAACGAAGAGATAAAAAAGATATGGGTTTCACATTTTATATTACTTTTTTATGATAAAAATAACTTAAAAATTAAGCACGACTTTTCACCCGTAGTGTTTTAAAATACATTTCATCAGTCTATTAAATTTTGACTGATTTAGTTGGCTATTGATGAATACTACCTCCAATCCTAATTATAAGAGTTAGCTGACTAATTTAAGGAGATTAAGATAAGAAGTTAAGTTAGTTATTTATAATAAATATGTGTTGTTTTTTCTAAAATATTCTTGCTAATCAAATGTATTGGCTAGAATTATCATTGTTAGAAAGGCTACCTTAAGAAAAAATGTATAAATATGAGACACAAAGTGAATTGAGGTCTTATATTTAAAACCAAAATAAAAATCAAACAAAGTCTTATATTAAGAACCGGAGGTAATATTATCTTTTATAGCCAATATTTCATATAACAGTATTTAGTTCCATAAAAACTTAATAAAAAATGCCAAAAAGTACAAATTAAAAATAGAATATATGCATGGGAAAATAGAAAATGAATACGTAAACAAAATTTTCTAACCCAGTCCATAGAGAATCGTCGTTTTCCTTGCTACAACTGATAATGAGTTGTTAATGACAATAAGTTCTCAATTTCTTTTTATTTTTAAATTAAAGAGACAAACACGCATAAGTCCTCAATTTCAATCCACAAAACTAAATTTTTGCAATCATTATCATGGAGTTGGATAACCTATAGTTGTTAAAGAATTGAAGGAGACTAATTAAAAAATTAAAGTGCAAATTTATTCCGAAAATTTTCATTCAAGAATATTGGATATCCGAAAGTTTTTTTGAAGCAAATTTACCTTAAAAGTTTAAATCATAACAATATTGCCTACTGCCCGACTACTAACATTTTTAATGATATAGGACAATATTGCCATAATTTTAAACTTTTGGATATATTTGCTTCCAAAACGACCATTAGATTCTTAGCGCTTCTAAGTGAGAACTTTTTCAATAAATTTGCGTCTTAACTCTTAATTAAGTTATCTTATGCTTGTGAACATCTCATAGATCAATTACATTTTTGCTTTTATATATATATTGATGAATGAGAACTTTTTCCCTTTCACATCTTTTAACTTATTATTATTTCATAAAATTTCTCTTTAAACAAACATATCAACATCATATTCAAATTTAGGATTTCATCCAATCATGATGGGTGGCATTGTCACATGCTTAAAAATACTTTTGCTTAAAATCATACTTTTTGACAAATGTGGATAACTGGATAATGTTACATGTATATATGAGCAAGTTTGGACAACTAGAACTTACCCAAACTTGCCTACACTTGCATGAACTTAAAAGCCCAACTTTTAACAAGCTTGGACTTAAATGAGCCAACCCAATAGGACGGCCTAATTTCTATATAAACTCATATATTATTAATATGATAAAAGACATTTGGCCAAAGAAAATATGATAAAAGACAAAAAAACTATCCTTTTTATTTTGAGAATTGTTTTCTTTTCTATGATTATGAACAAGAAGCAATTGTAAAGTATTTGCTTTTGGGGTTTGAAAAGACTAAATATGCGACAGTGTCTTTTTTTTTAAATAGCCCTTCAGGGTTCCTTACACAAAGGCCTAGAAAGATCTTGTCAACAAGTAAAATCCAATTTTAATTAAAGAAGAAAAACTCATACATGCAATAGGATGACACATGTTCTTTTGCATATGTGCTAGTATTTTTTTCCCCGCTAAACTTGACTATCTTTAGAAGACCAAACTTGATGCAGAATGCCGAAGAAGAATTTATAGTAGAAATTCAAAAGACAACTGGAACCTATTTTTGTGCTAGTACCCACATGAAACTCAGTTTCTCCTTTGTTTCCTCAAAACAGAAATTTTGTACGCATGTTAGAGCCAAGAGGATCAACTTTATCTTCACAGCCAATACAAAAGGGGCTATAGCTTCTTTTCAAGGCCAAAAAATTTGATCACAGCTTTGAAATGAGCTCACAGTTTCCAGAAGCATAACTAGGAACGTTTGGACTGATTAACCAGAAGGACTTCAGCTATCTCGTGGCCTTCCTCTAATCAATACTAAGAGTTCTTTTTAATTTGCGGCGAATGTTATTCGGATGAGAAGTGCGGCCAAGCTTCCTTCCTCTTTTCCTACAGGCACAAAAGGTTAAAGTTGGCATGACTAAAATAAAATAAAATGTCAAAGTTGGATTCCAAGAATGAGACAACTGATAACATTAACACAAGTTTGCGTGGGTGTTCTGATTAAAAAAACTGTGTCTTTACAATACTCGAACAAGGGTAATTAATAGAAAAACACAGCTCATCCAGTGACAGTTACCTGAAAATAGCTGAATAAAATCTACACAGGCACACAACAGGCAAGCACAGTAAAGCAGTGGCCTGAAAAAAAAAAAAAACAACAAAATATGACACAGGCCTATAAATGGTACATCAAATTACATGAAATGAATCAAGTTATGGTAAAGCTCTTATAACTAGATGGTGCCGCTCATGTATTGTATGGATTCACATATATCAAATTGCACTGGTCCTTGGACTTCCTATAGATTTGTTAGATATATAGATATTACTTACAGCAAGCCAAGCAAGCTCTATAGAAGCAAGTGATCTTGTTAATTTGTTAGTTTTCAGCCATTGTTGGACCTAATCAAGATACAAAGAAGTAGTTAAAAAATAAATGCACATCAACTTTCAAAAAAGAACAAGCGAGCATTAAGTACTCTGCCGCATGTCAAAGCCAAAAAACAATTAAATCTAAGGGGCAAGCTGAACGGTAACTATTACAGGACATGTTGTCAAATGGATGAAGACATTGAATTTTAATTCACTGGATCAACTATGCTGCTTGATCATATTTTTTAGCACCCACATAAACGATCCAGAGAATGCCAATAGGTGGCTTTGAAAAAGTGTCAAAGCGAGGAACATTGACCGACAATCTTTAAGAAAATATTGACCTCCAATCAAAGTGATGGATCATATTCAATGGTTCAGCATTTTAACGCAGATTCTTCTAACTTTACAATACTTTAGTCCAATATAATCATGCTTTGTTCAAATCCCAATGAAAGGAAGCCTTCCAATCAATCCATAAGTCACATTCATTTTATGGGTTTATAAAAAGAAGATAACAGAAGAGAGCACCTGGTTATGGTATGAAATTATAGATGTGACCAACATCCTGCAAGCCCATACTGATTTTCCTGAATTGGGCTGCAAGGTAAACTCGTCCTCATCAGCGTATGGCTTAGCCACTGTTTCAAACTGATTGATGTAGGACTTAACAACATTGTGTTCTTCTTTGACATGTGAACTGATAATACTGGTAAAATTGTCACTAGATAATTATAAACAAAAAGGTTCAACGTGAGCTTGCCAGTACCCGTATGAAGGGAGCAGTTGATGTTTGTATCTTGACTGTATGTGATAGTAAAGAGTTCTTGGTCACACGATAGACCTCAGTGATTTTAGCAGTTAAAGATACAAAACATGAACAGAGAGAATATATGAAAGTCAGCCATTGATCCTTCATAATTGGTAACTCCTTCAAATAAAACAAAGCAATTGAGGCAGCACTGTAAGTTTCGAACAGCAACCGATATCCACTTCTTCAGATAATTATAAACAAAAAGGTTAAACGTAATTTTATAAGTACCTGTATGAAAGGAGAAAATGTTGTTTGAATCTTGGCCGTACTTGATAGCAACAGGTTCTCGCTCACATGATATGCCTCAATAATTTTCGCAGTTAAAGGTTCAAAATGAGAACCGAGAGAAGATATTAAAGGAAACCATTGGTCCTTTATAACTGGTATCCACTCCTTCAAATAAACACAGCAATTGGAAGTAAACCATGACTAAAGTTGGATTATATAGCAATCAAGAAAATTATTGCTGGTATATGTTGATTGGCTGGAGTATTTGGGAAAGGAGGAGGACCCTAGTGGAAAGGAACACTGGCTAATGAAATATCATTTTGATCCTTCTCTTATAGTCAAATAGAAAATATTATATTCAATTTGTTATGCTTTCCAATAGAGAACAGGACGGAGCTTCCAAATTAGATGGTATTCACACCATTTTAACCAAACTAGTAGAATGAGAGTAGGGTCATCGTATATCATTTCCAGAAAAACTGTCAATGATACTATGAGTGACTTACTGTCTTCAACATTTTGATACACATCCCCCCATTTCTTCGAACTTGTGAAAGTTTCAGAAACATCTGGGGATAAAAGAAGTGAAAAAAAAAAAATATATTCTTAGATGGTGACATACTTCAGTATCCCTTGACCATGTTTATGACATCACATCATTGAAATTGTTAATAAAAAAGAAACCTTTGGAGACAATGCGTCCAAGGCTGGCCTCCAAGAATAATTCCAGCGAGCCGCTACTAAGGACTGCAAGACACAATCAATTGTGGAAAGAACATAAAACTCTACATGGCTATGCAACAAAGCCGCAAAACTGCCTGAAAATGATTTAAGTTAACTAGCAGCCAATGAGAGAGCTACATTTGATAATCCAGATTCCAGTATAAAAACCTATATAATAATAGATACAATATAAGTCCAAACCAAAAACTCTTGATGAAGGTCCATGTTATTAGTTGGATAATGGTGGAGAGTACTCAATCGAACTTCAGAGTAATGATACAATGAAACGTTCTGACACGCATGTCATCTCTGTCTCCTCTATGAAAGATAACGTAGACAAGTTATCTCCCCTTAGGCACAAGCGGACCATTTGTTAATGCTCCTATGAGCTTGATAAACGTTGCTGTTTCTTATAGTTAGCTATTTAGGATTTTTGGCTAGTCTATGATTTTAGCTTGTAACAAGGGAAATTTGACTAACTCATGAGCTTGGTAGACATGTCTTGCCTGAATCTCAACGGCTCGATCCTTTCCTAGAAATTGAGTGGTAATAAAATTTAGCATTCTGCTGCGAGAAGAATACAAAGTTTACCTGGAGAGCTTCAATCTTTTTCTGGAGGGTTGCAATACTTTGTGATTTCTCCACAATGATATTCTCCATCTGTTTAATGCCATCATCTTTACTTTTCAAATTATTATCGTTCTTCTCAATTGTGGACTCTTACATGATACGAAACGACCAATCAAAATCGATAAAGATGAACCAGAAACAAGGAATTATACAAACAAATAATGAAATGATGAAACAGCTCATAATGAAGGTGATTTGACAAGCCCAAGCAAAATGCACAAAACATTTTCTTGGATAAACATGGCGAAATATAAGATTTCTCAAAAGCAGCAATTTAAAGTTCTCATTTCTGTTAGAGGAAGATTGAGAAATCTCAAAAATCTACTCTGCTTTTGCAACGAATTCAAAACAAAAATACTAGGAAATTTAATGGCATAATTCATATCACATTCGTCTTAATGATATTCAGGTTTCAGTTTCGTGCGGTACTACAATCTCAGTTTAAATAAAAACAGAGACTATTGTTGCTAGCAAAGAAAACACCTAAAATGGTGTATCAAAAAAAGGAAACCACCTAAAATTGAAACCTTCTCCTTGAGGTGCTCTAATTCAATCCTCAGAGATGAAATCGCATCCTCTGGTTCGGGGGGTGATTTCTGTGATGCAATTAAAACGAACAGTAAGGCAAGGAATATGGAGAAGACGAAGAGCTTCGGAGTCGTCATTGGAGTGTGGGGAGTCTACTGTCCTTCCCTCTACATTCAAATTAAGCGAGGGGGACGCAAGGCGCTCTCCGGTCGTACACACACACACACACACACGTGTGTGTGTGTGTCTGGACTTTGGATTATATTTTAAAAATATTTTCAATAAAAATTTTCTTTTTTTCTTGTAACGTCGATACAAAAACTGTTTGGGCTTTCGAAAAGCGAAGTAATAAAATTTTTTATATATTTATTATTTTAAACTAATTTTAATTTTTTTTTAACTGCGTAATTTAGTTAATAAAATTTTATATAAAGGACAAAGGTGTTGATGTTTGGCTGGAAAAAATTAAATTTAAGGTCGGACAATAAAATTATACTAATTATGACTAAATTTTATCATTTTATTGTAAAGAGTTAATACAAATTTTGATCCTTTAAGTTTTAGTTCTTCAAGTTTTTTTTATTTAAATATTAGTCCATATAATCTAGGGTAATTAATATGTAAGTCCTTATAGTTTCAACTAATTTTTAATCAGGTCCCCTAATTCTTTTTCTTTTATCAGGTACTTATACTTTTATATATTTTAATCAGGTCCTTATAATTTTTTTCTTTTATCAGGTCTTATTGTTTTACTTTGTTTTTAATTAGGTCCTTGTAGTTTTTATTCTTTATTTTACAAATAATAACTTAAAATAATAAATCATTGTAACAATCTTATCTTAATATTCTTTTAAATTTTTAGTTAAACAAAATATTATTTATTTCAATTCGAATTTTATAATTATAAAATTCAATTATAATAATAAATTTTTCTAAATTAAAGTATGATTATAAATATTTTATATTTAAGTATATATTATTCTGATTATTTATTAATTACTAAATGATTATATTAATTATTTTGTCCATATTATAATTATTAATTTAAAAATAAAATTAATTTTAAAGAATAAAGTTAATAATAATTTTTTAAAAACTAAAAGCCCTAATTAAAAATAAGTGAAACTATAAGGACTTGATAAAAATAAAAAAAATAGAAGGACCTCATTAAAATACACGAAAGTAAAAGGATCTATAAAAGAAAAAAATTTATAAGGACCTCATTAAAATCAGATGAAACTATAAGGAGTTGGAGATTAATTATCCCTATAATCTAATAAAAACTTAGATTATTTACTTTTTGAGAGACCAAAAGCTATTATTTGAAGATTGAGGGATTAAAACTAAAATAAGGGCAAATTTGAAGGACAAAAGATTATATTAATCCTATTGTAAATTTAAAAAGAGTCATTAATGTCATTATATTGTGTGATTTTTTTGCCTGTTCTTTCCCTTTTTTATTTTGTATTTTAAAAAAAATGATAAAACTTAGATTGAGGGGGTGTTTGGATAGAAACCAAACCATGTTTCAGAAGTGCTTTTACGATTTACAAAGTAAATATGTAGAGGAATTTGCCTCATTTTACGGAAAAATGCTTCTAAAACCATGGTTTGGAGGTTGCCAAACACCCTGAAAAAGAAATATCTGGCCAAAAAGAAGAAAAAGAAATCGCGATGGAACTTAGTCAAATTATAAAAGAATCTAATCAATTAAAATTTTCCATCAGCTTTTTCAAATTTAAACAGGCCAATCAAATGAAATTGATTTACATAGTCATGTCCAAAAGATTAATAATTCAAATATCATAATGTTTTTTTGGCCAAAAACAATTATCGAAATGTTGCTTCTGGATTCTTTTAATAATGGTCTCTGGTTATAAGGAAATTAACATTATAGGAATAATCATCACATACTCCTCTGATCTTTAATATAAGACTTATTTAACTAATTTGATTAGATTAAGAAAGTTAAATAAGTCAGTTAATTATAAGAGATATGATATATTTTTCCTAAAACACAATAATCATCTTTCTTAGTATTCTCCCTCCCCCACTTACTTGATTATGGTTTAGGAAGTATCCATAAATATAATTTAAGAAAAATTAATAAATATGAGAAATAGATTTTATATTTAGGACTAAAATTAACTTAACAATTAGGTTCTAAATTAAGGACTGGAAGAGTACTTAAATACATAAATCAATTTTAGAAATGGTGTTATTGTCAATAAATCAACAATATTGAATGACGTATAATTCCTATTTTTCATATTATGGAAGCATATATTTAAATACAAACCAATAAAAGAAATTTGATAATCTACAAATATAGGGAAAAAAATTATAGAATATACTACTTTCAATCATAATTAGAAGATTTTATTTATAGATTACAAATGAGGTCTTCTAATTAGGACTGAAAATAGTATTAACAGAACTTTATGTAGAAGTTACACGTCCTTTAAAAAATCTGTAGTGACATGAGGAGAACTATTCACCATGCACATATTATATTCATGTATATAACACTCCTAGTTAAAAGCTTATAACTAAAAATCCTTACTAGGGTCTGGGAATTAGGAAATTAAAACGTTTATTCTTTTGGGTCAATAACTTCACACACACACACACACACTAGTCTCCATTACAAATCAAGCATTTAAATCCTATATGAGTCACTTGAAATTGCATGATCAACACCAGAAGGTTTGGAAAAAGCATCTTTAATTTCAATCATATATGGCCAGTTGACTCTTAATTACCTTTTGCATCTTGTAGAACCATCCTTGTTTGGAATAGATTTCCACGCTGGTATATGGGTAATTTTAGGCATTGTGTATAGGAGCTAATATATACAAGTTGACTTTATCTATTTCCCTTGTAACAGTTATTAGCTGATTCTTTCTTTTTTTTTAAATTCTATTAGCTGATTCACTAACATAATACTACATCGAATCCTTAATAAAAGAACTAATTGACTAATTTGAATAATTAAAAAATTAGTTAAGTTAGTTATTTGTAATAAATTGGTATTGTTTTTGCTAAAATGTCTTTACTAATCAAACGGATTGGTTAGCACTAATATTATTACAACGACTATCTTAAAAAAAAAGATAAATATGAGGAACAAAATAGATTAGGGTCTTATATTTAGGACCACAATAAATTTAAACAAGCTATTATATTAAGAACCGAATGTAGTATATGATATCTCTCTTTCAGCCATTTGAACATGCAGCACAGTTCAATCTAGATTTTATTACTCGTATATGAGAATTTGTAAACATTGCTACAAAATATGTTATCTATGTATGTTTTGAAAGCCATTTTTTGTCTCTTTAGAGGGGACGAGTATATACACAGTATACTCATCCGTCCTATGTTTTTGTCTGTGTAATGTAAACAGATGAGAACATAAGCTTTTTTTTTTTTTCATGAACAAACGAAAACGAAAGTAAGAACCTAAATAATGCGTTTTGTAGTAGTAAAAAGAATAATTAATTAACTGCAGCATGCATGACCATAAAGAAATAGCAAGACAATGCATGCCTTAGAGAAATCATTGATCTCGGTGAATTTGTGAATTTAAGGTGTATATAATTGTCCCATTGCTTGCATATTATTATTTCTCATTTGACAGATCATTGTTGATAAGCCTTTCATGCAAAACAACAATGGATTGCTCACGTATTGTTGTGGATCTTTTGTCATATGTCTCAAAACAATAATATACCGAAATGCCACGTTCCAAACCCGGGTATGTCACAAGACAATATTATATCTGATATATAAAAATTAGTCTAACATTTAATTTGGTTTTAAATATAAGACTCTAATTCATTTTGTCTTTCAAGATGGTTCTTATAATAGTTGTATATATTAAATGTTTCATCAAATGGTAGTTCCAGCTAATGTATATGATTAGTAAGGATATTTTAGAAAAAACAACACCTATTTATTATAAATAACTAACTCAATTAATTTTATTGATTTATTCAAATTAGTCAACTAGCTCTTATATTAAGAATGGACGGTAGTACAATAATTTGAGGAATAAAACAAATCAATTGAACAAGCAATTCTTGCCCAATTCAATACCTTGGTTCTCTTCGTAATTAAAGGCATTAATTAATGTGATGAAATTCAAACAGAGAAAAGAAGAAAGTGACACAAAGTGATAACAAAGTAAGTCATTGATGAGATAAATAATGAAAACCTTTAAACTAGGAATGAAAAAATGATTTCAGAACAAGGTCATCAACCCATCATGAGCCCTACCTAATGAAAATGGTTTGGGATAAAAATAACAGACACATTATTTGTAGTAGCAGTAATAGAGAAGCTCTTAAAAAGGATCATATGAGAGATGAAGAGAGCAAACTTGGCTCAAGGATGACTTGCCGGCAAGATCCTCAAGTATTCAGAATCATATATCTATACATAGACGCACACCGGCAAGTCATCCTTGGCTCAAATATACTCTCTACCTCTTCATGCAATCCATTCTGAGCAAATTAACACATGGACTTTCAATGCTCTTAAAACCCTAACTATTAAACCCTATTTATAAGCCCATAAGAGAAGCTTCCGGAATGTGAATAATTCTTAATTATCTGAAACCCCTTTTTATGTTTGGGACCCATTAATGTTCAATCATGTAGGTATACGTGTCGCTTGAAGAATAATTGAGAACAAAGCATATTATTATAGAGCTGACTGTATGTGAACTTCTTCTTCTGATAAAACTGTGTTGTGGGGAATAGAATATTTGTATGATTGTTAAATTGGTTTCATCACCATGCTTCTGATATATATGTGACTTTCAATAATGAGAATTTGTTCTATCAAATGATAGAATTTAATCACTCAGATTTTGACTTTGTTTATTGGGTTCCCTACCAATGATAATGTGACCGCACAGGCTTCTTTCTTTTTGCTTGTTTACGTGTCATTCCTGGAAATATATGCACCATAATGCACACACACAAAAATGATAGAATTTAATCACTCAGATTTTGACTTTGTTTATTGGGTTCCATGCCGATGAAAATGTGACCGC